TGCGAATACAAGAAGCCTCCCGGGCTGAAGTCGGGATCGAGATCCGGGGGATGTGTCCAGTCGGCGAAGTTAACGATGGCATCGCTGTCTGCAGTGCCCAGGTCTGGGACAAAGTCAAGAACGAAGACGTTGTTTTTCAAAACCGCCTTTCCGATGTACAGACCACCCTTCCCGTGGTACAACTTAAACTCCTGGGTGGTGCTGTCGGCTTCCAAGTGGATGCCTTTCGCCATCAACTGGCTGACGCTCAGTAAGTTGTAGCCGAGTCCCTCCGCGATTAGCACCTTTGACATGTGCAATATAACGTTTGTCTCTCGTGACTGAAGTTGTACTACTCCTTGTCGTCGTGTGCGCAGGTTCTGGTTGTTGGCGACCGTGATGACGACCTCTCGTTGAAGTCGATGTTCGCGTTGAACGAAGCGTCCTGAGGAGCACGTGTTGTCCGCAGCAACTGTCCATGAACCAAGTGTCTTGTCCGAACGGTTCGCTTTGAGCGATGGCAGCGTACGTCGGGTTCGGCTGGAGTGACTCGCGGCGAGGCGTGCTGTTGTCAAGTTGTTCTTCTGGTGAGTAGTAAGGTGGTGACTCGGTTGTGCAGGGGTCTGTTATCTTCACCATGCAATTGACGATGTTTCTTGCTCCGTGTGCAGGTTGTCCTGTTGAAGTCGTTGAAGCTTGGATTGAAGTTGTTGGATTTGCTTGCGTTGAGGTTACTTGGGAGCTTGAAGGCCGAAGTTGTCGCTGTGGTGTTGTCGATTGCTGACGAGACGGGCAGTGCGTACGAGGATGCCCTGAAGTCTTGCAGATGTGGCAGAACGGAGGTATTGTCTTCATTTGTTGTTGTTGCTGGTTGTTGTTGTTGTTGATTCCCGCGTGCGTAGGATGAGCCATCGAGGCTCATGGGCGTCACGTTGTTGTTGTTGTTGCTGTTGTTTGACTGCGCAGGTACTCCTTGCTGATGCTGCTCGTAGAAGGACATAAAGGAGAAAAATTTCTCCATCATATTTGGATCGAAGCCCGCGGGTGTTTCCGTAGACCCAGCTGCTGGTCTCGTTGTTGTCCCTTCCTCTGTCAGTAGGCCACAGACAGGAGGTGGAGTAGGGGTAGTGCCGGGAGAGCCGTTGGAGGAGCTCCTCTCCTTTCTAGCAGACATGTCTTCTTTGTATTGAGTGTTGAAGAAAAGGGAGTAATTTTAAACTCTAACTTGCTCTCATACCATGTTGGGCTGAGATGCCCTAGGATCTTTGTAGAGTTAAAGTCTGAGTAGGATGATGTAATAGCGGAAGAGTTTTAATGAAAGTCCTTGAACCACCTTGCGCTAGTATGTGAGGGCAAAAGTAAGTTAATTAAAACAAGCAAATACAAAGATTTATCTCAGAGTACAAGGAATACGAATAGATATAATTAAACTGTTTTACTGTTGCGGTTCGATACAGTGCGACTCGGGCAGCTGCTCAATGTCGAGTCAGTTGTATGTCCTTGCTGTCGCGCTGCATTTGTCAAGTCAAAGGTCGCTGACCTTTGACCTTCGCGTAACCTCCAGCGGTTACTTTAACTTCCGATAGTTGACTCGCGATGCTTCGATTTGAGCTGCTTCGCTTGTGTCTTGAGTTTCGACACGACAGAGGCGCTTAAGACTTGTTGTTCCCGAATCCCGAATGCCAACTGGCGAAACCGTAATTTCGGCCTTGACAACGCATGTGCTGGCTCAAAGTGGGCCACCATAGGCCAGACTTGCGGTTTCTCCAGGGTTTGTCTTTTAAGAACACTGATGCGACCAGGGCTCAGGTTTGCAGTGTAATTTACCCTTCTATACTGATAAGAAGGGTGAAATTTTGACTCTACACTGATGGGCTGGGGTATTTGTTTTGTGAATTAGTGTTACACTGATCTGTAAGTGTATCGTTGTAGGCTACACTGATGCCTTAGGGTCATTTTCTAGTTATCGAAGATTACACTGGAGGGCGTACAGACCCCCCCCCCCCCCTTTCCCCCTTTCTTTTCCCCGAGACTCGTCAGAGCGTAATTTCCGCTAGTCACGCCCCGACGTTATCTTCCGTTCAGTACGTGCGTTGGCCACTATTTCCCTTGCCAGCACGACACTGCAGTGTACGGAAAAATGCCACACTGATGCTGCAGGGTGAAAATTTCAAAAGTTTATGTTACACTGCTCTAACAGTGTAATGAAAATTTACACACTGCTCAGAAGGGTTTTAGAAAATGCTACACTGCCAATCGTGAGTGGGCCAAATCCAAAACGAAGCCCTGGATGCGACAGGGTAAATTTTTGAAAACTGACATAAACCCTGATGTAACAGGGTTTTCAGAAGGGGTCACACTGATAATCAGGTTTTTGACCTTGTACCACACTGCTCATAAGGGTAGTCAAAATCCAAAAATTAGCCCTGGTGTAGACAAGTGAGGGAAGTGGGAAAGCAGGGAGTATGGCAGGGAGTGCAGTCATGGAGGAAAAAGGGTGTAAGGAAGCGAGGGAACGGGGGGAAGAAGGGGGGAAGACAGAAACGGGAATGGGCGGAGCAAGGGAGTAGAAAGGGAGGAAACGTTACATAAGAAATAACTTGCAACTTGCAACCAAGGCTCGGGTTCTTCATCACAAACTCATCCTTGAGTTCTTGATGGGTCTGCTGCACACACCTGCGACACGCTGAACGTTCGACAAGCGACTAAATAGAAACCGCGCACGACAAAATAGAAACCGCGCGGGACACACAAAATGACCGCGTTACACGCGACTAGCGATAATTCGCTATAGACTTGACACACACACACTCGACATCATGACCCATCATACACACAATATTGTGAGCATGAAATATATATTTATTTCATGCCCTCATTCCATTCCATGCACACACGCATGCATGCACACGGACAACAAGCCGAGTGCAAACCGCAGGGTTGCACCAACAGGAAGAAGGGGGGTAAGGCAGAGAGGGGATGGGTGGAAGATGGGTGCCTGGTAGAGAGGGGATGCAGGGAAGATTGGTGTGGGCGGCGAAAGGAAAGGGAGAAGAAGGGTTCCAGGCAGCGAGTGAAAGGGGGAAGATGGATGTAAGGTTGTGAGGGGACAGGTGGATCAAGGGGTGTAAGGGGGTGAGAATGTGTAAGGGGATAGGGGTAAGGGTGATAAAGGATGTGGGGAGGTGGGGGAGGGAGGGAAAGGGGATAGGGTTGGTGAGAGGCAGGGAGGGAAAGGGGATAAGAAGGGTGGGAGGCAGGGAGGGAAAGGAGATAGGAAGGGTGAGAGGCAGGGAGGCAAAGGGGATAAGAAGGGTGAGGAGCAGGGAGGGTAAGGGGATAAGAAGGGTGAGAGGCAGGGAGGGAAAGGGGATAAGAAGGGCGAGAGGCATGGAGGCAAAGGGGATAGGGTTGGTGAGAGGCAGGGAGGGAAAGGAGATAGGAAGGTTGAGAGGCAGGGAGGGAAAGGGGATAAGAAGGGTGGGAGGCAGGGAGGGAAAGGGGATAGGGTTGGTGAGAGGCAGGGAGGGAGGGAAAGGTGATAGGAAGGGTGAGAGGCAGGGAGGCAAAGGGGATAAGAAGGGTGAGAGGCAGGGAGGGTAAGGGGATAAGAAGGGTGAGAGGCAGGGAGGCAAAGGGGATAGGGTTGGTGAGAGGCAGGGAGGGAAAGGAGATAGGAAGGTTGAGAGGCAGGGAGGGAAAGGGGATAAGAAGGGTGGGAGGCAGGGAGGGAAAGGGGATAGGGTTGGTGAGAGGCAGGGAGGGAGGGAAAGGGGATAAGAAGGGTGAGAGGCAGGGAGGCAAAGGGGATAGGGTTGGTGAGAGGCAGGGAGGGAAAGGAGATAGGAAGGGGGTAAGGCAGGGAGGGAAAGGAGATAGGAAGGGTGAGAGGCAGGGAGGGAAAGGGGATAAGGTTGGTGATAGGCAGGGACAAGGTGGGATAAGGGGAGTGAGGCAGAGTGGTATGAGGGGGAAAGGGGTTTAAGACAGAGAAGGGAAGGGGGAAGAAAGGTGTAAGGCGGAGGGGGGAGAGGGGGAGGACGGGTGCAGTGTAGAGAGTGACATGGGGGAAGCAGGGAGTACGGCAGAGAGGGATAAGGCGGATTAGGGAGAAGAAGGGTGTTTAGTAGACAAGGGGGAGGGGGACGCATGGTGTAGGGAAGAGAGGGGAAAGGGGGAAGCAGGGCGCAAGGCATACCAGAGAGAGGGGGAAACAGGGTGTAGGGAAGAGGGGGAAAAGCGGTTTAGCAGGACGATAGGGAGAGTACGCTTGGTGGGGAAGAAGGGTGTAAGGTAGAGAGGGGAAGGGGGCGAGAATGGTGAAGGGAAGAGAGGGGAAAAGGGGGTAGAGGAAAAAAAGGAGGAGGGGAAAAGGAGGATGAAGGGCGTAAGGCAGAGAGGGTGTAAAAGCGGAAGAAGGAGGTATGGCAGTGTGGGGAATAGGGGAAGAAGGGCGGGACGGCAGAGAACGCATGGTGGGGATCGAAGGGTTTAACGATGTGCCCGAAAAGGGGGTATAAGGGTGTAGGGCCGTGATGGGAGAGGGGGAAGAAGAGTGTAGGGAAGAGAGGGAAAAGGGGGAAGCAGGGTGCAAGGCACCGAGGTTGGAGACATGGACGAAGGTGGTAATGCAAAGTGGGGAAAGGAAGAAGAAGGGTGTGAGGCAGAGAGGGGAAAGGGGGAAGCAGGCGTTAGGCTGTGAACTCATGGTGCAATGAGAAAAGTGTAAGGAGAGTGGGGGAAGGGAGACGCAGGGCATAAGGATGTGAGGGGAAAGAAGAAGTAGGCTGAAGTGAAGAGAGGGAATGGGGGGAAGGCGGGCGTAAGGCCCAGAGGGTGGAAAGGAGGTTGAAGGGGGTGTGGCAGAGTGGAGAATGGGGGAAAAAGGTTGTAAGACCTCTAACTCATGGTGGGGGAATAAAGGTGAAAGGATGTGAGTGAACGGTGGGGGCATGGGCGTAAGGCAGAGAGGGGAAAGGGGTTCAGTAAGGTGTAAGGAAGAGAGGAAAAAGGAAGTAGCACTATGTAAGGCACTGAATGCATGGTGGGGCAAGTAGAGTGTAAGGAGAGAGGGGAAAGGGGGAAGATGGGAGGGAGGCAGAGAGGGGAGATGGGAAAGACGGGTGTAGGGTGGAGAGGGAAAAGGGGGAAGAAGAGTGTAAGGCGTTGAGGGGATAGGTGGAAGAAGGGGGTAAGGGAGTGAGGAAAGAGGGAGAAGGAGGGTGTACGGCGGAGAGGGGAGAACAGGGTGGCGGGTTGAGAAAAGGAACAAAGGGGACCAACGGTGCATTATCTGGTGGTCAAAGGTGGAAGGGGGCTGAAGAGAGCAAGGGAGATAGGGAAAAGGTGGAAGTAGGGGAGTAAGGCAGACTGGCGTAAAGCAGAGAGGGGGAAGGAGGAGGAAGAGCGTATGGAAGTTGGGAAAAGGGGGAGACTGGCATAAGGTAGAAAGGTGGGAATGGCGGAAGAACCGGGTAAGGCAGAGAGGGGACAGGGGGAGGAAGGGTGTAAGGCAGAGAGGGGATAAGGGGGAGTAGGATGGAGGGCAGAGAGGGAAAGAGGGGAAGCAGGGCGTAAGGAAGAGAACGGGAAGAAGGGGGTAAGGCCGAGGGGATGGGGGGAACAAGGGCGTAAGGCAAGGAGGGCAGAGGGGGAATAATGGTGTAGGGAAGACAGGGGAAAGGGGGAAGCAGGGCGTTATGCAGGGGACGCATGGTGGGAGAAGAAGAGTGTAAGATTGAGGGCGAGCGAGGGGAGGATGGGCGTAAGGCAGAGGGGGGTTAGGGGGAAAAAGAGAGTAAGGCCGACAGGTGAAGGGTGGAAAGGGTATGTGACGATGGAAGAACGAGACGCGGTCAGTGCGGAATGGAGATGCTCGCAGAGGGGCGGGGAGTGGAGTAGCCGCAATGTGCGAATGAAGGGGCCGCGGAAATACAGGAACAGGCACCTGACATGACGATGAGGCATACCAAAGCAGGTGGTGTCGTCGTACCTCGCAATCGCTCAGCACAACCGCGACTTAGCAGCTGATTTTCTGAACTCGCCGCCGCTTGGTGTTGCTGCTTGTCCGCCCGTTGCGCTAATGCCAGCAAGCTACGGTCCGCCCAGCCTAAACCAAAGCAGGGGGGGGGAAGGAGGGGAGGTAGGGTGGAGACGTCGGGGGAGCACGGGGGAGAGGGAGTTTAGGGTTGCAAAGGGGGAATGGACGGGGGCTGCTGCTGCCAAATCTGCTTAGCAAGGAGATGCAAGTGGGTGTCGGAGTGATGAAGGCGTGGGCGACTTCATGGAGCGAGCGTGTGTGATGGAGGGAACAGCGTCGCGTGCTCGAAGGGAGGGGAGTGAGCGTGGGGATGAATCAGGGGAGTGCGCGGGGGCGGACGAGGGGAGTGTGCGTGGGCGAAAGAGGGGAGTGCGCGGGGACGGCCGCGGGGAGTGAGAAACGGCGAGAGAGGGGAGCGCGCGGGGGCGGACGAGGGGAGTGTACGTGGGCGAAAGAGGGGAGCGCGCGAGGGCGGAAGAGGGTAGTGTGCGTGGGCGAAGAAGGGGAGTGCGCGTGGGCGGACGAGGGGAGTGTCCGTGGGCGATGTGAGGGAGGGAGCGATGGCGACGTCGACAAGGTGGGCGCGCGATGTGGGGCACATTAACTGGGGTTGTACGATTCCTCTGCTCACCCTGGGGATTTTCGTTGATCGCGCGGACGTCCTCTCGCATGTATGGGGATATCGCGTGTAACTTAGCAATAAATGTTGAATCGCGATGGTTCACCAATAAAAGAGTCGTGTGTCCGCGAACAACACTACACCCTACTCGAACGAAATGCGTGCGATGGGCGGGTGAGAAGGCGAGACGGTTATACTAGCTAATCTGCGCTCTTATTGCTGTGTTGGCTGGCGTCATTGTGGCCAAGTGATAACATCGTGTGTGAGGGACCCTGCTTTAGATGGTCGTTGCGTTTGGGTTTACAAACGGCTTTGCGGAACTCAAGTTTCCAACTCCCAGCGGGGGCACAACAACTGACGACGGGGGAGAAATACATGGCGCAAGTACGCCAACACTTTTTTTTTTTGACGATCGATTTGAGCATATTTTTTTTCCATATTTTAGTTATTTAAAATAAAATGTGAAATAAAAAACAGGATGCACTAGTCGCTAGCTACATGACCAGTAAGTATTGTCTACATTCAATTGTGATGTGATGGTAGTGATTTTTCTGTTCGCACTACGGCATATTTTTGTATGTCGGATGGTATAGTGGTAATTACGTGACTGTCATGAAATGCATATTTGTTATAAATTATACACTTGTGCTTAGATGAATATAATAATACATGAATGAATATAATGATACATGCTTGCTTGAATGAATATAATGATGCAAATTTTATAAATGCATTATGCAATGATGACAATAATGCTTCAGTATGCATAATGTTTGATGTTGAAATACATGCATACCAGTCTATGATATAAATGCGTGAAAGCTAACGATCCAAAAACTATGCTATCGCATCCCCTGCCCAGCATGGGGGGGAGCTAACAGCATAATCCTTGAACAATCAGCAGACACATGAAACAACACAATCTGTGAACTCTAAAAAGATGGTCAACTCTATCATCTCCAGCTCAAGTGGGCTCCCGACAGGCGCGCCAATGAACCTTCTAATGAAATGATAGACCCGATTCACCCTTTTAAAACCCACAGACATGCATGAGAAAATAAGAACGAGAATGAAATGACTATGAATGAAGTGAGTACATATAGGAAACCCTAACTGGGTTGTACCCCCTATGGGATACCCCACTATAGCCTACACAAATAAGTAAGCTATAATGTTCTGACACACCCCCATAGGCAAAGTGGGGGAGAAGGGGTCACAAGACCAGTCAAGCAAAGCAAGGCAAAGCTCAGGGTGGATCACAAAGTCACCACACATTCCGAGCACAAGTTCAAAGGCCAAAAGGCCAGTTCACATGCAAGATCACATATATAGGTATACAAGAGGCTAAGCAAGCAAGAGCAAGAGTATATATATATGACAGTACAAGCAAGGTCAAGAATTGAGCAAGTGAGGCAAGACAGGCACAAGACCCAACTAAGTGCAGAAGCGCTGATGATCACAAGGCGCAAGTGCCTTGGTGAAGACATAAGAAGTGTTGGCCTCAGAGGCCACGTACGCAAGCCGCAACTGTCCACGCTGCTGTAGCTCACGAGCAAGAAAGTAGCGGAGAGCAATGTGCTTTGTCATGTGTCAGAACATATAGCTTACTTGTTTCTGTAGGCTATAGTGGGGTATCCCATAAGGGGTACAACCCAATCAGGGTTTCCTATTTGTACTCACTTCGTTCATAGTCATTTCATTCTCGTTCTTATTTTCTCATGCATGTCTGTGGGTTTTAAAAGGGTGAATCGGGTCTATCATTTCATTAGAAGGTTCATTGGCGCGCCTGTCGGGAGCCCACTTGAGCTGGAGATGATAGAGTTGACCATCTTTTTAGAGTTCACAGATTGTGTTGTTTCATGTGTCTGCTGATTGTTCAAGGATTATGCTGTTAGCTCCCCCCCATGCTGGGCAGGGGATGCGATAGCATAGTTTTTGGATCGTTAGCTTTCACGCATTTATATCATAGACTGGTATGCATGTATTTCAACATCAAACATTATGCATACTGAAGCATTATTGTCATCATTGCATAATGCATTTATAAAATTTGTATCATTATATTCATTCAAGCAAGCATGTATCATTATATTCATTCATGTATTATTATATTCATCTAAGCACAAGTGTATAATTTATAACAAATATGCATTTCATGACAGTCACGTAATTACCACTATACCATGCTGCCCCTCACTCCTCCCAGTTTCCTCCGACAAAGGCCCCGTTGCAGACGCTTCACATGGACGTGTGGGGCCCAGCCCGCGTCCGTGGACAGGGTCACGAGCGCTACTTTCTGCTCGTTGTTGACGACTACTCGCGTTACACCACAGTCTTCCCCTTGCGCAGCAAGGGTGAGGTCAATGAGGTGCTGATCGACTGGATCCACGCAACTCGTCTTCAGCTCAGGCAGAGCTTTGGCTCCGACTTTCCTGTGTTGCGTCTGCACTCGGACAGAGGCGGAGAGTTCTCCTCTGGCCTTCTGCGTGCCTACTATCGTGCGCGAGGCATCCGCCAGTCCTTCACGCTTCCGGACTCCCCGCAGCGAAATGGGATTGCTGAGCGCCGCATTGGCATGGTCATGGACGTCGCCCGTACGTCCATGATGCATGCGGCTGCCCCCCATTTTCTGTGGCCGTTTGCGGTCAGGTACGCAGCGCATCAGATCAACCTCCACCCCAGGGTCTCCAGGCCGGAGACCTCCCCAGCCCTGCTGTGGACCGGGAAGGTTGGCGATGCGTCGGCGTTCCGGGTCTGGGGATCTCGGGCGTTTGTCCGCGACTTGTCTGCGGACAAGCTGTCCCCTCGCGCTGCTCCCTGCGTCTTCCTGGGTTTTCCCCCCGACGCCCCTGGGTGGCAGTTCTACCACCCCACCTCTCGACGTGTTCTGTCCTCCCAGGACGTCACGTTCGACGAGTCGGTACCCTACTACCGCCTCTTCCCCTACCGCACTCCGTCCCTCCCCCCACCCCCGCTCTTCTTGGTACCAGGTTCCCCCCCGGTAGACCCCCTCCCCCCTCAAGGTCCTGCCCCTTCCGGTGTGTCCCAGGTAGACGCGGTCGAGCCTGTCGAGGTCACTGGTGACTCGGGTGCTGCTGGGGGTGCGGAGCCTGGGGGTGCGGAGTCTGGGGGTGCTAAGCCTTGAGGTGCCGAGCCTGGGGGTGCTGAGCCTGGGGGTGCTGCGCCTGGGGGTGCTGAGCCTGGGGGTGCTGAGCCTGGGGGTGCTGCGTCTGGGGGTGCTGAGCCTGGGGGTGCTGAGCTTGGGGGTGCTGAGCCTGGGGGTGCTGTGCCTGGGGGTGCTTCGTCTCGCCGGGAGCCACTCTCCCCACAGGAGCTGCGTGAGTGGTTTGCCAGGCGCTGGCGGCGTGCTGCTGGTGCTGGTGGTTCTTCGGCTGCAGAGGGTACTGCTGCCGCGCGTCCCGGCGGTGCTCGTACTGTGGGTGCTGGAGCTGCTGGGTCTGAGGGTTCTCCTGGAGCTGGTGCTGCTGAGGGTGTTGGCGCTGTGCCTGCCGCTGGCGGTCCGACTGACAGTGCTCCTGGTGCTGCTGCTGGAGGTTCTGGTGCTGCTGGAGGTGCTACTGTAGTGGGTGCTCCTGCTGGGGGTACTGGTGCTGTTCCTGCTGTTTCTGGCGTCGCCGCGCGGCCCTGACCGTACTTCGTTCCGCTCCTGCAGCAGGTTCTTGGTCTTACACCTCCTCCTCCCTTAGAGGGTCCGCAGCCTGTCCGGTCACAGCCACAGCTACAGCCTGCCTCCCCTTTGCCTGCTCCTTCTCCCTACGCTGGTCCGAGTGGAGGTCTTACTGAGCGTCGTGCGCCTGCGTCTCGTCCTGCGTCGCGTGTTCGTACTGAGCGCGCTAGTGGTCGCGGGTCGCGTCAGCGTCCTCCTCCTGTCCCTGGCACGCACCGGATGTCACTGCGTCCGTCCACTGCTCCTCTGCGTGCCCCTTTGCCTTCTCCTCCTCCTTCCTCTCTTCCTGCTCTTGCCGACCCGGAGTCGGACTCTCTTCGTGCTGCCAGTCCTACTGTCACGCGTCTCCTTGCTACTGCTGTCACTG